ATTGTGCAACCTGCTAATATATGGACCTTACTTGCTAAGATCAGAATATTTTATCTTGTTTTGTATAAAATTAATTATTAATGAAAATTCAGAAAGGGCACATGCATATTTATTTAAATTAAAAGTTTAAGTCTTAAACTTTAAGACATAGACAAGGATAGTCTATCATGCGTCAAATCACCATCATGTCAATTCAAATTGCAAAAAAAGTAGTTACAGCTTGGAGCCAATTATAAAATTAAAAATAATGCTAATGATGGGTAATTTTAAAAAGCAATTATTTTTATACTTTATTTTATAGTTATAGATACCAACTTACTGAGTAAGTTCAATTCAATTCTTCAATTTCAAGTTTTCAAAACACCTTTTTATTTCTTTTAATATTTAAAGTTACATTACATACACGTAGGTCATAAATTAGAATTAGATTAGTTTTTTTATTCATTATCCCAGTAGCTGCTTAGCAGCGTTAGCACAGCTCGCGCATTGAAATTAATAAATAATTATGAGTTTAAAAGATGTTGAAAATTAAAAAAATAAGTGAAAAATGACTAACTAAAAATAACTATTATAACAAAAAAAGGTAATTTAATAAAAAAAAGAAAAAGATAAATTTAAAATAAAATAACGCAAAAAGCTCAGATTAAAAGTGAATACTGTCTTAAATCTAGCAAGGAACAAATAATTTGTAACAATATTTTGAAAATTGATAAAAAAAATTTTGTAATTTTTGGCCGTAATTTGTTTATTCATTTATTTTTGGAATTTTATATTTTTAATCAATAAAAACTAATGTATCATCTCTTATTTTTTAACAAAAAGATTGCAGTTCTACGATCTGAAAAATCGGTAGTATACAATTTGCAATTGGTTTCAATCGTTAAATATTCTCCCCATCTTTGGTCTAGCCCATACATGGAATTATATAATATTTATATTATATATTTATATGAATTATATAATTCAATGAGCCCATATAACTAGAATAAATATAATGGCCTTCGCTCACTTTTAACGGTCAAACAAGAAGCTTACTTTCGGAGGGGAGTGGGAGGGTGATATTTTATCGATCGAATCAAAAGTTTCGATTGTATATTTACTAATTTCGGAATATTGCTTTTATTTAAAATGTTTTAAAAGTTTTAAATTTTAATTTTTTAATTGTTATTCAGTGTGGTAATTAATTACTTTTATTTGGTATAAATTTAAAAAAATAAAATCGACATTACCGAAAAGCTATAATTATAATTAAAAGCTGAAAAAATTTAGGTTCTTTGCATATCCCTGCTTCACCCATAAGAAAGTTTTGTATATTGGTAAATAGGCCTTCCCTCCCCTTGGTCTAGCCTATAACGAGTTGATGGTTTTCACGAGTTTTTTTTTTATTCACCAAGATTGCTTTAGGTCCAAAATGATATTTATGGTTTAACGATTTTTGTTTCATTCGCCAAAAGTTGGTTTCAGTCAGTAATAAAGTTTTGAACGTTTCCGTAGCAAAATAAATTTTCCCGAAACTTCTGGTTTCATTTTAATTGTCCTTGTATGATATATATATATATATATATATATATATATATATATATATATATATATATATATTTATATTTAAGCAACGCGCAAATTACAATTTCTTTTATTTCATTGTTATTTTTTGGTGCCGGTACCATGACTACCAAATTATAAGTAGGTCCTGAATAAGTTTCATTTGTATAAAAGAAAATATTTACAAAGAGGTTACGACAATATTGATGATATTTATTTACTTGAATTAATTAAATCGGTGCAATAATTGAATTTAGAGATTTTCTATAACAAGTTTATTTTCATCAGTTTGTTTAGAAAGTCTGAGTTACAGTTTTTAAATTTAATTGAAGTTTTTAATTAAACTAGTTAGTTTTTTTCTTTTTATTTTAGAATTTAGATTTTAGAGACTCTGAAATCCGAATGTGTAAAATTGTAATGTGCAATCTATTTCTAATCTAATAAAAGTGGAACTCTATATAAATATGTCTATAATAATTGCAATATAATAATAATAATCTGACATCACATTGCGATATATAATATAATTTATAATAAATAACATAATCAATCAATCATCGTTTAGCGTCCAGAGATCCAGTTCTCCCGAGGTAGGACGCTGTTTTCTTTGCCATCAACTTTTTGCGCCAAATTAGACGGTCAGTTGTATCCATTTCATTTAAATGTAGAGCTTTCATGTCTTGTTCGATTGTTTGCGATCAGGACTTTTTTGGACGGCCTTTTGGACGTGTTCCAGGTACTTCAACATCTGCAAGAGAAGTTATGGCACTGTTTCTACTTGGTTTGACATGACCAAACCACCGCAGATGGTGTTGCCGGCATTCGTCTTTTATATTATCTAAACCAGAACGACGCAGTATTTCGGTAGATTTGATGTAGTTCTTCAGATTAATTCGTTGCATACATTGGAGCATTTTCATATCAGTCTAATTTAGCCATAAGTGGGTTCCAGTTTGGTTGTCATTGGCCATGTCCCTGCACGATTTTTTAAAAATTTTAGTGATTCAATAACCTGAATCCATCCATATTTCAATGTTCTAACTGCTTCGTCGCGAGCAGACGACCGGGTAGTTGAGAGACTTTTCAAATTAAGTGAACTAGATTCTTGCTGTGTGTGGTTTTGGAGAACGTCCCACCTGGCAGTAGAAGCACTGAAAAAGTTGTAAACATGTTGGATCAACCAAAAAAAATTGCAAGCTTCTGCACAGGATTCAGCTGCATTTGTGCCAACAAGGTTAAGTGAGTGAGCCGAGCATGGTATAAATAAAACTTGATGATTGACTTCCTTGATTCGCGCCTGAAGTCCTGAATACTTGCCAGCCATGTTTGAAGCGTTGTCGTAAGATTATCCGCGACAGTTTTGAAGATCCAGGTTGTGTGATTGTAAAAAACAAATTACAGCGTTAAATAGTTTTTGCGATTTGTGGCCAGTGTTTGGTAGAAACGCTACAAACGCTTCGTAAGGCGTTCCGCTTTTTTGAACATATCTGATTACAACGGAAAGTTGATCAACTTTAGCTATGTCAGGCGTTGAATCAACAATTATTGAAAAATATTTGCTAATTTTTATTTGGTAGACGAGTTCGTCTTGTACAGCATTTGCCAATATTGCTGCTAACTCTTCTACAGTTGTTGATGACAGATAAGAAGTATTACCTTTTCCACATTTGCCAAATCTTTCTATATGATGCACCATAAAAGAATCAAATTTAGCAAAGAAATGTCTTGCACTAATGAAAAACGCATCGGCTAACTTATCTTCAGTATCATTTCGTTCTTCCAATTGATCTCCACTTCCACTGACCGCCGACTGAAAAAACTTGTTAATTTTCTTCGTTCTATCCAAGTCCGTATTGTTTTTAAATTCTTTGTCTTTTCGCAATTTTGCATATTGATTTCCACTTAATCTTTTTCTACCATCGCTCATTTTAGCTCTTTTTATGAAACTACAAATATGGCCTTAACAAGACAAGACAAGATGGCGAATTTAAAAAAGGGTCTATCTAATTCAATGATCGAACCACATCCACATAATTAAAATTACATATATTGGAAAGAAAATATTATCGCCCACATATACAACGTACCTTTACTTTACTTATAAGTTGTACCTTTATCTTTAGATTAATAACTAACGTTTAGTAATCAAATAAATCATGATACAAGCTCATCAAACTCATTAACAAAAACTTTTGTAAAATAACAGGCATTAATAAAGTAATTTTTATTTGATCGCTAAAAATTTGTTGTGGTTATGTTTGAGTTTGTTGTGTCATTATTAGTGAACAGTTAACATAATTAACTGCGTTCAAATTTTTGTAGCTGTGTACACAATTATTGTGAAAAACGCGACCATGAAAAAAAACGGTATTCGTACATATTGTTACAATTTAGCGCCACTTGTAGTCATTCGTCCTCTGATTAATTAATTAATTATTGTTCCAGTGATAAAAGTATAATTTTTTTGCATGACATTATCGGCTATATGTTCCGATACATGTATTTTAAATATATGATCAGAACGAACGGCAACTGTTAATCAATTTTTTAAAGTTTTAAATTATATAAACTTGAACACCATAATTTTTGAGTAAAGTATCAATTTCAGTAATTATTTTTATTCAACTTGAACATTTTTAAATAACTAGTTTTCAAAATATGCCGCCCTCCAAAATTTGTCGCCCCAGGCCGGTGCCTGTTGTGCCTGTGCGTTAATCCGCCACTGGTTGTAGTGGGATGTCACGCCGCATCAATATAGAGGCAAGGAGATGCCATTTATTCCAGGCTGCACGTATGCGTGCTCGAACGGCAGCTTCAGCTGTTCCAGTACAATCCAGAACATCCCCTAGATATTGAAACGATATGACATTCTCTATCTATTGCTTCAAAAACATTGCTATTTCGAATTTGTTGTTGTGGATTGATGCAAGCAGGACAAACAAAATTAGACACTTTAGATAAATTATTAATTATTTTTGAACAACGTTTGTGACACTTACACTGCTGACACTTGATTGAATTTTTACCTACACCAGCTTTACAAATTGACATCGTCCAGTTTCTGTGAATTGGATGAGTTCACTAGTGTTAATTGCTTTGGTTTTCTGATGTTGACTTTGAATCCATGATCGGCCAGTCTGGTATTCCAATTTTCAAACATCTGTGCTGCATTCTGCTCAGACGTGGCTGTTAAAACAATATCATCTGCATATATTAGTTTCCAAATGTCACAAGTGCGTATCGGCTTTGTGATTTCTTCCATCACAGTTATAAATAACAGTAGACTGAGAATCGAGCCTTGGTGAACTCCAACGCTGATTTCAAATGCATCAGTGTTTCCAACTGTTGTGCTGACTAGAGTTTTATGAATCTGATTTTTGGGGGGTTAATATGTTGAATTGTTGTTTGTAAGCTGATGTGAATGGGTAAATGATCTGATGAGGTGAGGTCATCGTGGATCATTCCATGTTGATGGTCAACGTATCAGAGGCGACAGATATATCTGGAGATGAAGGCTGGCCGGATGCTGGGAGACGCGTTGGGGTTGTGCCGCAGCCAGAATTTTCGATTTCACTGGCTAGGGTTTCTCCTCGTGTGTCCTCTAGACTTGAATTCCACAGTGGGTCGTGTGCATTGATATCTCCTAACAAGACGACATTTGGGATTAATAAAAATTGTGATATGGTTGCTGTGAAACCTGCTGGGCAGGTGGATTGTGGGGCGATGTAAATGTTGATAATGTTGATATCTGTGTCGCTAGCGTTGATTTTGATGGCCTGACTCTCAATTGTTGAAACATCTGGTAATGACTTGATGCTGTAGGGAATGCTGTTGTGAATGAGTAGTATGAGACCACCTCCTCGACCTATTCCTCGGTCTTTGCGGTAAATAGCGTATTCTTTGAAAACCGGATTTTTGGAGCCTTTTATTAGTTTGGACTCTGATCTGAAGGGCTGCAATGTGGATGTTGTGATTTATGAAATGTTGCTGAATTTCCTCTTGTTTTTTATGCCGTTACAGTTTAGTTGAAGGAAATTTAACTGTCCGGCATTTACTGCTTGTGATGTTGATAGTTTGTTGCGGGCTGAGCTGTTGAATGATGATGTTGAAGTTGGCCGCCGTGAGGCGCCAGCAGACGCCGACGTGCCGCTTGAGTTTGAGGACGGGTGAGGACAGTTATTACAATAGTAATGACCGTTGATGTTTGTTAAGCAATTGCTGAGGTGATGCCAGTTGTAGCAGGTTCTGCAACGGGCCGAATATTGGGTTTTGTTCATCCTTTGATGGCATCCAGGGCAGATCCAGATCTTTGGGGGACCTGGATTTGCTTCAATTCCGGCTCTCAGGAGAAGACAACGGAG